CCCTAAAGTGCTTACTTTCTCCAGTGCAGAGATGGCCTCTGCTGTGGATTGGTTGGCTCTGGAGTCAGGGGTTAGAAGATAGATTTTAACATACTGGGCTGTGAGTTTCTCAAAGCATTTTAAAACAACCAGTGTCTGCTCTATTTGTCATTATTCCTTTAGATCACAGTTCTTTTGGTGCGTATGGGTAATGGTGGCTACTGCTCTCACCATTTTCAGCATCTCTGACTTGTTCTATAAATTGGTTATGTGAAGAATGGTCTGTGATAGAAATGTGATGATATGTAGAACTGGAATCCCAAAATAGGGTAAAAAATAAATGGTTTCGTATTACTGCTGGTGAATAACTAGTCAGAGTGTGAGGTCCACAAACAAACAAACACACATGCAGCACACACCCATACACACACGCAAACAGTGCAGGTCTTACTTAATGAAATGCTCCCAGACAGCCAGATGGTGAATAAACTGGAGTCTGGAGTCGTGTGGGGAGTAATGCCATCAGCCTGTGGTGTAAAGAATGATGTCCACTGCTGACTTGTGAACATACAAAGGCCAAAAGGTGACAGACTAACCACAGAGGGGATTGCTTGCTCATTCACAGTTCTAATTTACCAAAAGTGTTAAATGTGTGTATGTGTTTTATGAGGTTACTTGAGGAAAAGTATTTTCCTTTTTACTGCCTGTTAGAACCACAAGTTTAATGCAAATAACTAGTTGAAACAACTATCTGCTTGTTGACGATTTAAGGGAACAAAAATCTGTCTTTTTTGGTTTTACTTTTGTTTTAGCTGAGACAGATGGACATTTCTGCAGATGACAGACCAGATCTGAGTATCAACAAGGTGATGGCCAAGAGAAAGAAAGATTATGACACTCTGCTGCTTCATCATCCTCCAGACGGATGAAGAATGGGAACAGCCAAACATCAATGGCACAAGATTAGGAAAACCCCTCATGGATCTGTTTGTCCTGTGTCTGGATCCATTTGAACATTACATAGGGATTGAAGATGATTGAAAAGGGTGGATGAGATGTATCGAGACAGACTGGCAGCTTGTACTAATTTGTTTTTCCTACTGCACTTACTTCAGCAACTCAATGAAATTTATTCCTTGTAGTGTCAATGTTCTTATTTATTCGTATTCACCGGGTCCTCACTCTTGATGATTGGGAACATTGTTGGCATTCAGTGTTCTTCTGTTTCTTCATTATCTGAAACTGACTTTCATCATTACTTGCCTTGCTGTCTTAATAATCCCAGGCTTGGCAAAAGCACTCATAAACACTCGGCTATTTTATAAAAGCATTCAAGTTATTGATGGGGTCCCTAATGTAGTAAGGGACAGCTGAGATGATGTGTGCACTCACCTCTGAATTTAAATTAGGCCTCAGTTTGTAAGTAATTGCTTTGTCTGATTCATACCAGCATCATACATTTGTCTGATGTGAGTGAAATGCAGTCACTTTAGCCCAACTTATTTTAGCCGTGTGTTGCAGCCTGAACATTTGCACTACTCATTTCTCCAGGTGCTTGTCTAAAGTTGTTTATTACTGATCCCCAGGTTTGTTGGCAAGGACAAATGGCGTGTTTTTGAGACTATTTCATATTCATGCTGCTCCTGTCTGAAGATTTATGCCTGTGAAGCATGCATCATTGATCTAAAAAAACATATAATGCCTTAAATACTCATACATTTTTGAAGAGTTTATTTTTATTTTTTTACATTGGGGTTGTGGGTTTTAGTGTGCTGCTTTTGTACTTGTGGTTCACAATGTTCTGCCCTGATCTGCTGATTCTCAGGAGATGTGAAAAAAATAAATAAATCACACATTGACCCAAACCACCCATTTTCTTCACCTTGTCAAAAATATGTACATTTTAGACCTTCCTTACGGGATCTGATCATTTTGTTCCTTTGTCATTTAATTCTTTCTGTTTGATATAAACTATATGTCCAGGAGGACATTTTGTACTGTACAAATTCAAATTTTCTAAGATCTATTCATATTCTACTTTGAAAAAAGAGGATTATATTATTATAATAAATATTAGCTACCAGCAAAGTTACACTTAGTCATTTTGGTTGAATCAGGGGTCATCATCTTTCACTCAGCAGTAAACAGGGCTATACGGGGTTAACAACTCCAACCAATAGAAACCAGGTGTATTTCACAATTTTTTGAAATTGTGAATCAGCAGCCAGTTTCATTATGCTTGCAGCCTTAATGAGACGACCAGCTTTGCATTGATTGACACCAACCAGTGAAAAAGTCTTGCCTTTCTTCAATGTACAGTTGAAAACTTTTTACATGCACTGTCTTGATGGTTTAGTGCATGAGTTCAAAATCGTTTTAGAAATGGTCAGTGAATAAATGGCAGCCGCGTAAAAGTAATAAATAGGGATGAATTGGCCTGGAGCCCCTCTTACAGAGCATTCTGTCCATCTGAAATAAAGCACATGTGGAGTACAGTTTAAAGCCAGCCATTTTGTTCTTTCTGGGGGATAAGAGAGGTTTTTTTTCTCCTTGAAATGTTTGCCAGCTGATGTTAAGTCTCCGGGAGGTATTGATGTGAAGCTTTTTAAGTAAAACAGCTGCTTCCTGCCAAGAGCACCCAGGAAAACAAAGAGAGAGCTACAAATGATAAAAATTGCAACACTCAACTGCAAATGCTGAAAGGTTTCGTTTGATAGGGGATGCCAGCTGAATGAATCAAGACAAGGTTCTCTGAGGGTTCACAACTGGAGACTTTTTTTTTTTTTACCTTGCATGATATTTTAGATCTCATTTTTATTTTATTCATTTATTTATTTTATTTTGCCATATGTTTTCACTACATTTTCCATTTGGTCATGTGTGTTGTCTTCAGTTTCAGAAGCACAATAAGCCTTAATTCCCTATCCTTAGATATGAAGCTGGGTAGGAATGTGGCTCGAACCTTCCTGGATTATTACAAGCTTAACAACCTCACCAAGGACAACAGATCCACTAATATACACTGGTAAAACTTTATTGGAATTTTTTCGTTGTTGTTTTGTTGTTTTCTGAATTAAATACCACAACTTTGTTGATATGTTTCTATCTGCAGGGGTGATGGGATTTCCCAGATGGGCAAAAGCAAGATTTTGAGCAGCACTTGTGCTGTCAGAGACTCAGGTGACAGCAAAAAGGAGAAGACCCAAATTTTCGGACACTAGTGGACATGGGTGGAGCACATATTACATATAAACCATTGCGACAGGAGGATCAGACTCCATCCTGTTGATCCAAACCTTTTAGGGTCTCCAGAACACTAACACAAAAAATATTTTCCCACACATTTCACGTCAGCATGAATTTCGAGTTAGTGTAGCGCACGTTTTTGTTTTTTGACTGTTGGAGAAAAAACAAACACACACAGATTAACAGACAACAAGAAGTAAACTTCATGCACAAAAGCTCTGGTTTCCCTGATCCCAACAGCTTACATAAAAAGGTCTATAACAGTGACATGCTTGACATTCAAACCATCTTTTCGTATATGTGTGCCTCTTATAAAACACGTAGATATCAAAGCTGTGTGTAGGTGTTTGGGGGGCAGGATTATTAATTTAAATTAATTTGAAGGCCTTCATCTGGCAGCTTTATGTTGTTCAGAGAATATGTGTTCATGTTACGATTGACTTGTTGAATTTATTCCTCAGACAGTGTTAAGTCTTTTGTTACTATTATTATTCATTAAATATTTAACCACTTCATACATCTGGTCTGCTTGATGTAGTTTTGTAGCAGAACTGCAAAGCCTGTTGTTTCATGATTAATGTAGACTGGAACAATGTACAGGAATGTGTTCTCTATATTCATGATTCTAAACCCTTGGGCATGCATTGTGAAATACTTAGAGCCATGTATGTCGTAATGATGAAAAATATTAACACTATTCCAGGTTTTGTTGCATCTCATCTTGTTCCAACCATAAGCTCCACTGTATTTAACCAGGGTTGTGTTGGAAGAACAACACTAGTACAAGTTTGCAATTGTGAAGTGTAAAACATGTTTTAATCACATCTGACGAAAACGCCCTCTTCCAGCCATTTGCTGTGCTCTCTGCAAGGCTTGTGTTGCAAATGACACTGTTTTGTTTTGTTTTCCTGTAGCAATGACTTTCTTCTTGCCACTTTTCCATGAAGAAGAAATTTGAGGAATTTGTCACAAAGATGAGTCACATAATTTTCCACTTCACCGATTGTCTATGTTCTCATTTTATGTAGTGCTTTACTACATCTCAGACGGCTTGCAGTTGTGCCATACTTTCCATTTTTTGTTGAACAGAACAATTGATTGTGAGCTGGGAATATTATTTATTAACAATGCACCTCCACAGCTGGTATTAGTTTGAGTCTTCATGGTGCTTGTTCTCTAATCTTCTCTAACAAGCATCTTGGGTCCAGAACACAATAAACTAAGGTTGGTTGCATTATTTTATTTATGGCAAGGAAGCAAATACACGCCACACTTTTCAGAAGTGCACATTTTTTTTCCCACGTGCACTACTTTGTCTCACTTCCAATCCAGAAAAATGTATTGCTGATATTGTGGTTGTAAATTTAAGTGACAAACTGTGAAGTTCAAGGGACATAAACACTTAAGCTGTTCGCTGATGTTTAAATAGACTTATGAATATGCATCTGTTTGACTCGCAAAGATGAATAAAGGATATTAAACTTATGCGGATATCCAAAACAGATTCACGGATATCCAAAACAGATTCACGATCATTTTTGTCATCATTTTACTTCCTCCTCTTTTTTTATTTATTTATTTTTTTCTAGCTGGTATCAGGTTGAGTTTTACCTATTGTTGGTGAAGACGCATAGAGATGACTGATTATTAGGATATTCGGTGTCAATCCCAGCTGTTCTTCCGGGAGACACGCTCGGTGATTGGTTGAGAAAGCGACAAAGTGTTCTGATTTGCTACTTTGAGGTCATGTGATCCCACATCCGCTCCGCGGCTGTTGCTGTTATGACAACGAACTTTGGAGGGGCCAGATGATTGGTAGCAACGGAGAAGATGGTCAAGTCTCACAAGAAACACAACAATTCCCTCAGATGTACAGTGTATCTGGACATTGAGAGAGTAAGTGTGACCTGTACGCGTCGTCACGAAACCCCGGAAGCGGACCTGTTGCTAGAGGTTTAGGAACGTCAGCTAGCTAGCAAGTTTTACGCCCTGTTTTCCTCAGCAACTTTGATGGAGCTAAGCAGGAGACACGCTTTTATATTCATATTCATGTTTCACAAAATTCAACTGTGTAGTAGAAATATTTTAAGACATGACATGGAAGAGTTTATAAAAACCCAGAAATGAATGCTTCATAAAAGTTTGTGTGTGTATGTGAGAGATTTCTGTGATTTTTTTTTACAGTCCACAATGGTGCTTTGTAATTAGATCACTTGTATATTATTTAAATTTTTTAAGTCCAGCTATCCATTCTAAGTGGTTTTTACAGTATTGGTCTGAAAATTTGTTCCATTTATTCTTCCGCCTTTTTATTCCTCCGTCCTCTTTGCAGCCTAATGTTTTGCAGGATCCTGTAAAAATATTTGTGACAACTGCATTGAATTGTTTTGTTTATACTATTATATATACACTTGCAACTTTTGACTGCAAGTGCAGACTAAATTGTGCATTGATGAATGTGTAGGAAAGCAAATAAAAATTACCGACTGGGTTTACAGGTTATTTACTTCAGTAATACCAAATATGTCTTTCCTTTGTGGACATATTTGCCTTTGACTTATGCCAGTTGGGATCAGATACCTGCCACCTGCCAATACACATTCACTTAAGTTGCAAATTTAAAAAAAGGTATTTTGAAAGTTAAATCAAAAACATAAGCAATTTCTTATACTGTCAATTATATTTCTAATAATGCCAGAGGTAATCTAAATGCAAAACTGTGACTGCAAATGTATGAATTGTTGCCTTATTGAACTAATGTGTGGGATTATTGACATTATATACTGTTTGCTTGCAGGTTACATGCCCAGGACTCCTCCTTAAAAAAATGTATGGCATCTACATCAGTGTGCGCATTATGGGCCAGTACAGGAAGACTCCATGTTTGTCTCCTGTTTTCCCTCTAGTGTTCAATCACAGGATGGTTTTTGCCAAGGTGAGAATAAAACAGCAAACTGTTTGCTACACTCTGTTTCCATCTGTCCACAGCTGTTTATTATTAGAACGAGTGGCTTATGTTATAACTGCTGGAGAACTTAGTCGTGTATTGACTTTTATCTGCATTGGGTCATTATGAACAACTGTCCATCCCTCCTTTAAACCTTTGTTTTTCTCTCTGAAACCTTTCTCAGCCTTTTATTCAGACTTCTCAAACTTTTCACAATTTTGCACATCACCATAAACTTCAAAGTATATTATTGTAATTTCATGTGACCAAGACAAAGTAGTTCATAATTATGAAGCAGAAAGATTTTCAAGTTGTTGTTTTTTTTTGTTTTGTTTTGTTTCCTTCAGATAAAAATCTGAAAAGTGTGGCATAGATTATGATGACTCAATTTATATAAAACATGTTATACCATGGATACTCCTTCTTTCCCCTCCAAAATAATGAACTGGTTTATTTTGGTCAGTCACTTAAATTTCCCATTATGTACGTTGTAGTTTTCAGGTGTGACATTAAAGTTTATTCAAATAGATTCTTGACCAGCATCATTTCAGTTTGACTGAAATTATATCTGCTGATAAGTTAGTCTGTTCACACTGATGACAGTGGCAGAGGTAAATTCTGGCCTATCAGCCTGATCTTCTTTTGATTATTGATTTGTTTTGTTTGCTCTCTCTCTGTTTTACCAGACTTTCTCTGGCATTTTTGACCCTGCTGATGTAGCTGACCTCCTCGAAGGTAAATGGACATCTGGGATCTGCTTGCTCATCTCCTAGTCCTAGATTTTGTACTTTGTTATTAGCTGAGATAGCAATCATTACAGACTGTTTATGCTTTCCCCCTCCTCAGCTGACACCACACTTTTTGAGCTGATTCAGTTGGTCCCTCCAGGTATGCTTTCTGATGATGCCATATGGGCAGGCTAAGCTCGACTCTATCAAGTCATTGCACTGTGAAAAAGGGCTTTTTAATGTGAATTTAATGTAACAGTATGTGTTTCTGTTACCGTGCATTGCTTTTAGAGGGGGATATTCTTGCCACGATGGAAGAATGCAGCAGAGATTTCCTGTATCCAGATCCCAGCCTAGTTCCCAGTGAAGGACCTGCAAAACGAGAAATGATGATGAGAAGAACCTCCTTGTTTCCTGTGAGTTGGTCTTTTTTTTCATTTGTGTAATGTTTTTTATGGGTTTGTATAGGTCAGACTTTATGCAGTTTATAACTGTGTTTATATAAAACATGTTTTATATAGTATTGGAAGCAGTATCTTTTATTATCAAGGAACTGTATTTCTTCTTTCTTGCGATCAGATGGATTGAGTAAGAGCTCCATATGCATGTAAACTTCTTTAAAATTATTGAAATCTTTCTGAGGAATACAATTTAAAAAAAGAAAAACATCTCTCCAAGAAAACCTCACATTCTATGTATTAGTTTACAGCGGTCTTCTTTGACATCTTGTCCCTCTTTGTGGGTTTTTTTCTGCATCCTAAATGCTGACCGCAAATAAAGTGTTACCAAAATGTGTTCTTTTTTTTCTTTCTGTTGCTTCTCGTTTGCAATAAAAAGTATTTAGAACAGGGTCACGTGAAAAATGAACAGATGCGTTTTTGTAAGTCTAACTACATGGCTGCAAGATTTTGTTTTTACACCAGCACACCTTTACACCAGCTGAGCAAGGAAAAAGTCATTTGATTTGCACCTTATTTAAATCTCCATGACATCAACAACCATCAGACATTTATATGTGAAAGAATATTTACTTATTTTCTCAGTGGCTCTGACATCTGTTCAGCTATGATTGGAACAGGCAGTTAAAATCAAAAGCTTTGTCTTTGATAAAGTGTTTCATTTAGAAAAGATAAGGTTTTCTTGAAAAGCAGTTTATCAAAAAAAAAGTTTAAAACTTGCATTTATTTCATGTTTTTCCCTTCCTTGCACCTCCTGCTTTCATCCCTTCATCTTTCCCTGACTGCTGTTTGTTTTCCCATCATTCCCCTTGTCCTCCAAGGCACCAACTGGCATATTTAAATGTCTTTAAACACTGCTCCCCTCGCCAGTGCTTTTATGTGTTTGTGTTTGAGGCCTACGTAGCAATTTAGATGTCTCTCCAAAAAGTGGCATATTATTTAAACATCACTGGAGCCTTTCTGTGTTTCTGCTGTTTGTTGTTTTCCTTGACTCAGGAACAGAGTGAAGATTTGTGCTCGTAAATTGGTGTCCCTTGCGGAGCTTTTATGTGTCCTTTTGTCTTCCTCTCGCTCTTAAAGGTGTTGTTTTTCTGTTGTCTGTCTCTTGCCAGGGAATCTCCCCGAAAGTGGAGTTTGCCACAACGTCAGTCATAGATGAGAGTGATTGGAGAGACAGCTGGGTTCCTTCACCTGTAAGTGTTTCTGTTTGACACATCTTTGTGTGTTTGTTTGCTCCTGGCACAAATATATGATCCCACATGTCCTGAGCGCTAAAGATTGATCTATAGAAGACCATAATGAGCGGTGTCGCTCGCCATCGCATTTGTCTGTTTTTACTAAACATGCCCAGCCTCTGTTGTTGCTATGACGACTGTCCATACGAGCAGCATTTCGAGGGTGTTTGTTCCCTCTTCGTGAATGTAATTATGGGGAAGCAGATCAGTGGTGCTGATACGGAGGCTTCTCTCTCATGTTCCGAAGTTTTCACACAATATCACTTTCCACTTTCATTTCGGAGGTCTTCATGTCCAGATAATCATGTTATCCTTTATCATATTCTTTTTCTGTTATGATTTTTATCCCTCTCCTTCATTTTTCTGGTGCACATCAATAAAATAAACTTCAACAATAAGAGCATAACTTGATAATCAATTTATTTTGGTGATGGTTTACAGCTAAAATGTTTTTTTTTCTCAGATTATTTTAAAATTGCACAATACTAGTTTAGAGGTCTATGTCATTTATGCATATCTAAAACTCACAGAATCAAAGTTGAGGCCTGTTTTCAGATTTCTTGTCTGTGATGATTTAGGGAGCCATGTGCTCTTCTGCTGTTCAGAGAGGATGGGTGGCAGAAAATTTCAGAGCACTTTTAAAACTTTTCTCCCTTGTAAACCTTTTACAGAGATTATATCTCCACTTTCTCACAGAACTTGGCACCTCTCCAAACAGTCGGTACTTTTGGTGCTTGACTGGCAAGCAAATTTGTCTTAACCCAGCAGAGAATCTATCCATCAGAATAGTAATGGATGAAGTAACGAATATTAATGAGAATTCGTTGTACAGTTTGTTTTACATCAGTCATGTTCTGTTTGAGCACAATTGATCTCACTCAAAGGGACCTAAGAAGAGTTAAAATCAGCATGAATGTAAATTTGTCACAATCTCTTTGGAGCATATGAACTTTCACACAGTGGTTGGCATGTTGTGCCAAACAGACTCCCACGGATCTCCCAGGTGTAGTCACCTAAGCTAAGCTATTAGTTTGAATGGGATGTCAGTGACAGCGAAGCAGATTGTCACAGTGTTGTGCAGCGGCCCCTCAGGGGGATGCCTGGATCACAGCACCGCTGTGACTGTCAGACAGTAGGATTTCTCCATTTTCTCTCCTAATGGCTTTTCAGCATAGGCATTTTTCTGACTACACGTCTCCCCTGCTGACAAGCCATGTTGTTTACTAACACAGCTTCAGGAGGAAGGCGTCTCCCACAAAACCTCGGTACCCATCAGTATGAACACAATCGTTTTAACTTCAAAATAACAGTGCCATCTTTTGATGTGATACTTTTGTATGAATGGCTTATAGTCTGTTTTTTTTCTCCACGGAAGCTGAATTACCACTAATTTGCTATAATCAAGTTGTATGAGAATCACATTTTTGTGTTCAATTGTTGCTGAGTATATATGAATAAAGCAGGCGAACTTTTCCCAAAATGTTATGTTAAAAGAATCCCCCAAAAGAGGTTTCAACCACCATAATGTGCACATTTGTAATTTGAGTACAAACTCAATAAAATCGCAATCCACTAAGCAGATTTCAGTGAAATAACAAATTCATCACGGACATGTGTGTCCTTTTCAGGCATTTTACGCATCTGCTTTCCTCCATGAAATTAACTTAAAATAAATGTACCTTTTATAGCAACAGCATATTGTTACACTGAAATGTAAAAGAAAAATGTCTTTGAGTACATTATTTGGTCTAGGGAAAATGTATCCGCCTTGCATTACAATGACATTAAGAGACATGCCTTGCATAAATATTTGCAGAGAGGAAGAAATTTGTGATGACAATGAAAATATTTATTACTTTGTAGAGATTCTGTTTATTCTGATGAATTTTCACCGTGTCAAAATGTCAAATGCTTGCTATGGCTCCAAAGCAAGGGCCACTTGACCTATTTTTTGATGAATTCAGCTAATTTTTAACCTCTTGGGGTGCCCTTACACTGTCTAGTGAGCTTTAAACTTTCAGTCCAAGATGATATGATGATCTTTAAGTAGAGGAAGAAGAAAAATGAGTTAGTAAACCAGTCTTTCCTAGCGCAACGGCACATTATTAGGCCCGAGCAGCTAAGCGCTGCGAAGGCCTATTGTTTTCCTATTGTTTATTAGGCCCGAGCAGCTAAGCGCTGCGAAGGCCTATTGTTTTCCTATTGTTTATTATTATTATTAGGCCCGAGCAGCTAAGCGCTGCGAAGGCCTATTGTTTTCCTACTGTTTATTATTATTATTCTTCCACCCAAATGAATGGCTTTTTGGGGGCTTTATCATATTCAAAAACTCACCAAACTTGGCGGAGGCCTTAAGCCTGTTTAAAATTTACGTATTTTAAAGTCGTAGCAAAAATTGCAACAGAAATGTCTCTACGGCGCCACCTAGAAATTGGAAAAACACCCTTTTTTACCCTCTGCTATTCAATTATTTTATCGTAGACACATGAAATTTGGTACACTTGTAGAGCTCCCCAAGACGCTCAAAATTTACAATTAATGTCATAGTGCAAGTATCACAGGAAGTCAGCCATTTTTGATTGAAGTTCCCATTTTGACCCCATTTTTGCCGATTTTTGCCGTTTACAGCCTTTGTATTTGATCTATCTCCTCCTAGGGATTTTGATTGATCGACTTCAAACTCGGTCAGTCTGTTCATAAGGCATGTCCCATCTAAAGTTATCTAAACGGTGAGTTTTTGAGTATGCTGAAGGGGGTTAGCAGGGGTCAAAGTTCACCTACTCGCCATAAAAAAATAAACTGCTATATCTCTTACACAGAAACTCACAGAAGCATCAAAGTTTCTGTGATTGATCATCATCGGGTCTTCTACAATACCCTATGGTCGAATGATGACATCACTTAGGCCACGCCCCCTGAGAACAGGAAGTGTAATGTTTTACTGTGAACGTTCGCTATCCGACCCCTTTGACCTCATCAACATGAAACTGTGCCAAGACACAGAACACATGTTGGTGTATTGAGGATTCCAACCCCGACCAGCTACGATAGAGCAGGTGGGCATGGCGGCGTGGCGAAGTTACCTGTAACGCCATCGCCATACGTTTGGCTCTCAATACCACATTTTCGGGCTCAGCTGCTGCAAACTCACAAGGATGAATATTTATCCACTCCCCGACTGGAATCCATCACAATATTTGTAGGGCGTGGCCTAATTTCTCTATAGCGCCCCCTAGAAAACAGCAGCCCATAGGTTATGTTGTTATTAATTATTTAAATATACATTATTATAACTTTTATATATATATATAAGTTTATTTTGTGGGTTAAAGTACAAACATTCATTCATTTTTGCTAGAAATAATACAAACAAAGTCATTCAGCAAAACTTATGACACAGCGAAGTAAGAACACACTGGGGTCAGTGTTGATGGAGTACCACTGGCACCTTGTGGAGAAATACTGGTACTGCTAGTGCAATACCAGTATTGCGACAGCAGGAGGCAGTGGTACTCCATCAATGAGAAAACAGATCGACGCTACGTAATAACAGTCAGCCGGCGACAGCTGGAGCTGCAAAGTTTTCCTGAACATTTTGCTTGCTTTTTGGAGCCACAGAACTGGACTACGCTCAACATTTTGCTTGGATTTTGGAGTTGCAAATACGAACCACGCTTTGGAGCAAGAAGGCTCTGTTGGACCGGAGTTGGAGAAGTTTAATGGGCTCTTTGCATCTCAGCTTACACGTTCGGGAAACACGGCTGAAATGTTTTTCCAAGGTAACAATTAATAATGTACATCGATCCGAAACCCCAACAAGTAAGGCAAAGAAAGGTTTTAAGATGTTCTCCTCGTTATACATTCACAGATATGAAGGTGAGTTTTATTTTTCTTTAAACTGCTAGCACAAGCCTGCTAGCTTTCTAGTAAAAATCTGCTATTTAATTATCTAAAGATTTCTCAGCCATTCTAACGGACACTGTTTGTGCCTTATTTTCAAGCATATTACGTGTGTTTATTGTTAACGACAATAAAGCAGCGGGGAGGGGGAGGGGGGAGCAGATTACAGTTCAGACTTTTGCTTGAAGTATGACGAAGAAAAACGAGCACAGAGCTTACTCTGGTATCGGAGTTCTAGTTCAGCTGACTGTTCAGATTCAGAGTTATTACTTTTAGAAAAATATGGCCGTGTTGCTTAAGATTTCTGTGTTATTTCGTTTTATTACTTTTGCATGCTTGTTGTGAATGGCTCATTAAGACGGTGTTTAGAGCGGTGTGTACGGCGTTAGCTTCAAGTGGTAGCTTAACTTGTAGCAACGAATATTTACAAGCTGTCTTAATTGAGGATGGCTTGGAAATCCATGAAAACTTAAACAAAGTACATAGTATTGTTTTATTTGTGTCTTAAGTACGACTTTGTCTTTTATAGCAGTAATAGTTACTGAAAGCGGAAAAAAAGAGCCGCATTCGGGTATACAGTTGTGACGTCAGCGCGGCAGGTGCAAAGAGCCCATTGCTGTTCGTTTAAACAGTCGTAACTCGCGGTGTGGTGAGTAATTTATTCCTTCCTGCTGGTTCTGGAAGCCGTCATGTTTGGAACAGTTATTCTGAGGAGGATGCTAACCCAATGCCTGAGGCCTGCAACGTTTTTAATGGTAACGAAGCGCTTTACTAATTCAATAAACTGAATAGTGTGTGTGATACATCCAGTTTCATACATTGAGAGTTGTTTGTTATTATGTATAGAAGATGTTTAAAATGTGTCGTTTGAAAGAGCTCTGAAAAAATGCTAAGTATCTTTTTAGCGATACATTGGGGTTGTAATATTTAGTTGCAGCACTTCCTGTGATTAATACCTAATTAATGGATGGGATTCAGCCTGTGCTATTGTTCTAATGTGCTGAAAGTTAACTGTGCTCTCTTAATGTGCATTGCCCTTGGTTTATTACTGAACAGTG